TTTTTCCCAAGAATTCTCATTAGGTTCAGTTGAAAAGACCACCAAGTACTCGATTAAGGCGCAAAAAGGAAAAAGATTTACTTGTGCAGCACATCAAAATCGAAAATATTTTTTGGTTCAGAGTGACCTGTTTCATTCAGTAAGGCAGTAATGAAGGTCGCCTCCATTTGACTCCTTTTTAAGCCCAGTCGCCCTGTCTCTCTATGAAAATTGTGCCACAACACTTACCTGTAACTGATAAGTGTCACTGGGCCTTTTGCTACTGTTGTGCACATCGTGTCGTTGAGTCAAAGGCAACTGCTGCAATGTGCTTTGATATTTCACTACTTTTGCAATACAGGTTGAGTCCTTCAGGATCAAGAGATAAATTTATAATTTTTCCTGTGCAGATTCATGAATTAATGCATTTAATGCAGTCTTGCCAGAGAATTAAACTGTGCCATGTCGTGCTGTGAGGTGTCACTCAGAGATATAAATAAAGCATGAGGAGCAACATTTTGTGGAGACACAGCTGTCCAGGACATCCACAAAGTTGCCCGTTCAAGGCTCCCTGAAATTACACATAAAGAACATCACCTGAGAAAATTAAGCTAAGTGAACATTTTTCTTTGTTAACAAAAGCTTTAGTCCAACCACAAATTAGCCTTTACTCTTCTTCTTCTTTTTCTTCTTTACAAATTAACAGTTGATGAAAATCCTTGTACTGCAAAAACCTAATTCTATGTTTTGTGCCTTGGCATAAAAATCAAGTATGACAAATCTGAGCAGCAAGGAACAGGAGGGATGGGTGAGCAATAAAGGGTGAACAAACCGTGATCAAGTAATCCGTGGAATCTAATAATGTGTTCAAAACTTTAGATGTCCCTATACTCTGTAAGTATGAAGGACCTAAAGCATAGGTAGAATTACAGGTAGAAGACAGCAATGATTTCCTTTTTAATATATACTCATTTTCAGCTGCATGAAACACAAGCACATTACCCTCTCCATCTTGTCAAAGTTAAAGACCATATTATAGCCTCAGGAGGATTTTTAAGCGTAGTGGCTGTTAAAGGCTATTACATTACATGACTTTGATGAAGAAGCACTCATGTTGAAGCTGCAGTCCTTACAGTTCTTGAGTTTATTTTAGCTATCTGTATGCTTCCGTACCTTCTTTATCTAATCACCTTCTTAGAATAAGACAGGACCTAAAATTGCAGCCTGTGGAATTCTGCTGGTAATATGGACCGAGGATGATGATGATGATGATGAGTTACTTGCCTGTCAAGGGATGGAGAAACTCTGGGGATCTAGGAAATAGCAACCATTTCTATATTCCAACTGTAACATTAAACCCAGTACCTCACATGGTCGATCGCACCTGCATGAACTCCAGTTTCAAAGAGAGCACTAAGTACATCTGCTGCCAACAGAAGTGCATCACTTATTTTGAACAAACATCACCTCGTGACCAAACAGCAAAATGTGGTGAGGATGTTCAATATAGCAGCGCTGGCTGTCAGTAGCTTGGGAGTCAATGTGATGACTTGCCTGGCACACTATCTGCTGTGTGTCTGCGAAGCCCACACACTTCTCATTTGCTCTTGGAGCTGACATCTATAATGTTTGTATTGTCTCCCTGGTGGAAACACCTTGGACTTTATTGACTCTTCCCTTTATATATCAACCATTATACATCCTTTATTCCCCTGTATGCCGGATCAAACAATCAGAAATCTAAAGAGCTTCACATGTATTTGATCGACATAGTCTTAGGTTCTGATTTCTGTTTCTGCAACTATCTATTAGGAAAAGATTAAAACAGAGCAGTGCATGTAAAGTGTTTGTTTGGAAACTTATGCTGCACAAACCTATTTGGCAGAGAGGTCGAGTCAACCAATGATAGATAATTTATTTCCATAGCTTTCTGCTTTTTTTAACCAGGCATTTTCTTTGAGACAAATGAATGGTGGCTGAATTCCCCTCAAGTGGCTATTTTCCATTATTTATTTCCACTTTACATCTGCCCATGAAAAATTACAGACTGGATTGTATTACAAAACTAAATCTCAGACCTCTCACTCTTCATTCCAATATAATTTTTGTAATAACACATATAATAATAATAAACTCCATTAAATTTAAAGACCCCGTCCTAAGAAAATCAAATATTTAGGCCTAGACTTGTGTCCATAATGTATTTTTTATTTGGTAGAAGACACATCGTGAGAAAAACAAGCAGTTTTTCTCACGATGAAGGTTTTTACCAGTGTTGTTCCAACATTCAGATAGTCAGGGTTTTTGTATGTAACAATGCTAAGAAACCAAACCCATCAACTACGAGGTGGAAGTAGCTGGTCAGAGATGAAAGAGATCAACAGTGTTTATGTGTCATTAACAAAGCATTATTATCTGTTTGCCAAAGCAGAGCAGTCAAATTTACAAATTAATCCCAGCGGCTTCCTCTCCTGCTTAACAAAGCACACACTTTGACAGCGTGATGCACCGCTGAGTCTCCCTCAGTGCAGCAGGAGAACTTGTGAGTGAGTGGCACTCTGAGACGCTGAGTGAGGGGTGGCTGCAGGACTGTGGCGGGGTCTGGATAATAATCCAACATATAACTGCAGATTGATCGTTTGATTTAGTAAAATTATTAAAAAGAAAACATTTGGCACTTCGATTTATTGTAGATTTCACAGTCACATAATCATTAAATCACTTTAACTTTTTAATTACCAACTTCCCATTAATTAAAGTGATATGGCTAAATGTTTTTTAAATCTTTAATTCCATCGTGAGATGTGTTTGACAGGGTAACTTTATGTTGAAACATTCTACAGGAAGACAATTTTGATGCCAGAATTTCAAATTAGTCAATTTTCTTTATCAAATTAAAAAAAAAAAATCACTCTTCAGGTTAAATTACTAAAAACACTGCTTACATTTTTTTTTGTCTCAGTCAGTCTCCCACTTGTACAGCAATTATCAGATTTACAAATGTATCATTTTTATTCTAAAATGACACTGCTGTAGCCATGTGTCCACAAAGAATATGTTTCACATCTAGGACAACATACCACTGTGTCAGAAATCTAATTCGTCACATTTAATCTATAATGTACATTTTTTTATGGAGATTATACAATTTTATATGCCACTGGCTCTTCCCTTGATGTAACCTTTGCAAATCTACAGCCTCTTTTGATGCATTTCCAAAATCTCTCATCAAAAGTAAGCTTAGTTTAAAGTGATAAAACTAAGTGCATGCTATTCACGAGGTCACCACAAAGTAACCAGCTTACTCCCCCCATGGTCATAAAACTGAATCTGTTAGTGTTTCTAAATACGTAGGATGCTTACTGGATCCCAGACAACTTAGAAAATGAAAGAGAAATTTATTTTACTTTTTTTATACAGAAAAAACTATTTTTTATGAGATTATTTTACAGTGGCTCATATGCATGTTTGCTTAACCACAGTGTGTTGTGATCTATCACAGGTCATTCTTTGTGGGATACTCATCCTTAACAAACAGGGAGAGAGCAAGACTGTATGCCGTTTATTTACAAGGCTCTTCTACAAAGATTGCCTTGTTCAGAGCTTAAATTTAAATACAGTACTTAGAATATCAGGTCATAGGACATTCTAACAGCTGTACTTGGATTTAAATACTGTGCTGCCTACAAATAGGAATGAGCTACCAAAAAAATATGAAACTACAATTATTTATCTGCCATTATTCTTGCACCCTTTTCTTTATTTCTTTACATGTAAGACTCTTTATTGAAGAATTAAATAATAACACTTTTTTATATAATATATATTTTTTTGTAGTGTTTTGTTTTCAACATTGTAATGGAAGCTTAGCACACGTTTGTCTGGAGGTTAAGTTTAGTCTGCACTGCCATAAATCACAGCAGCAGAAACCACTTGAATCACAACATCCAGGGTCCAGAGATGGATTATCATTGCCAATGGAGGAGTCCCAGCCCCAGACAATGACTATTTAGGTCTTGAAATCACTTAGTGTCTTTTTTTAGAGAAATCTATCCTTTTGATGGAAGTTTTAGGTGTTAGATTCACTAAAATGTTATATCTCTATTTCTCTTCATTTGTGGTCTGTTTAATGTGTGGTATCTTTCTTTATCTTCCTCACTTTCACGTTATCAGCAAAGTGTTTTCTTACAATACTGTTGGTGGTGCTGTTGCCATACATTACAATTATAAACACAACAGCTAATTGAAAAAAAAGAAAGATAGAAAGAAAAAAAAACATAACTTCAGGGCATGATAGAGTAAAATGTAAATCCTAAAGTGGGGTCTAAAGATACATGTCTTTATTGGTGGCCACATAATTGTGTCCTCAATAGAAACAATGAGGTGGTAATCCCTGAGGTAATAGCACTATTCATTGTGTCCTTAAATCTTAGGACATTAATGGATACCTGAATATACAGAAATGGTAACAGGCGTATAACTCAAGAATTTGTAATGATTTTATTCACTGGGGATCCTACAGTGGACTCAGCAGAGCCAGGCATGATAGTGTTATCTCTCCATAAGTGAAACATACTTTTGTTAATGGACCATAGATCTAAATGACCTTCAATAGCCGAGAGAAAACTGCACCATCTTTAAATTCTAAAAAGATCTCTGGGGAAATTTTCAAATGACCTAAATAATTTTTAGTCACTGAGGGACCTGTGGATATTGCGCCAGTGTATATTTAAAAACTGGAAGAGGCCAATTAATGTATTTCTATCTCAATAACCTTTTATAATGCAAAAACATACTGGTGGAAGAGGTGCATTAGCACTTCATGGTGGTGTAAGTTGGGGTTTGAAATGGAAATGAGCAAGAATGAGGATCAACCCGGGTCAAACAAAATATTCGAGACAGGAGGACAAAAAGAGGAACAACGTGCTAATGATTGTAAGTGGTAGATGAGCTGCACATGTGCTGCTTGTTAGTGAAGAGTCAATAAAATATGAAGAGTAGCAAAGCTGGACAATACAGACCAGAGAGATGTGGGTCCATGTAGAAGTATCGTCACTGCTCATGCTGATGCTGACATTACACCGGTGGATCTGAGATGCACTGAGGCCCGAGGCTTTACATTCATCTTCCTCTTGCTCTCTTTTTAGGCTAGCCAGCATTCGAAGCTCCTCATCATCTTGTGTCTGCGGACTGCCGAGCAGGTCCGAGTCGCAATGACTGGAATCAACAGGCTTTAGTGTCTCATCTTCTTCTTCTTCCTTCAAATTTATCACCAATAAAACCGAGATTACCTTTTTGGGAGCAATCCACAATACAATACCTTGCACTTAGTCACAGTCAGATATACACACTGATATAATGTTTTGTGCAGACAAATAAAGTACTGAAAGTCTTAACAATAAGCTTTAGTCCCAGATAGAGCTCAAGGCAATTCTGGACATACGCCATTGTTTTGACCCACTGAGGAAATGTCTTTTAACTGTGGATCTATTGATTTAGCAGACTACTATGGTAACAGGATTTTTCTGACAAAGTGTAAGGAAGTCTTGTGATACCCTGGTGACGAATCAATAGCAGTCAATAAACCAAGGCTGCAGGGAGGGAAACAAACTCCTTGTCATATTCATCAGACAATCTTTCAGTCAAAGCCTTCACTGCATGTTGCCTGCTGTAGTTGGCACAAATCAGCAGTCAGGAGCTACACTGATGAAGGAAACTGGGATATCACTCAGCAGCAAGTTGTGTAAATGCAGAAAGCAACCATCAAGTGACAGATCTCCCTTCAGGCCTTGTGATCACTTCAGTTGACTATCCTCTGATCCTGGATCGTTTCAACTGGTGCTGGGGCCTACCTCAATTTGTAACAGACCATAGACTGATCCGGCAAACCTTTTCCCCAGCTCTTTTTAGCTGTCCAAATCAGCAGTGATCACACATTACTATGAGTAAAGAGAGACAGCTGGGTGTACGAACATCAAAGTTTTTAATAAGCTGCACATTTGCCACAAGGACTCCAAACCCCCACTTGCACATCACAGTTAGAGCTCAGCACCTTTATGACTGCATACTAAAAGAATTGAGTTAACCCATCTACCAAAGATGGAATTTAATCAAAATAATTTTAATTAAACCATGCTGCATTAATCAATTTTCAAGGGGGTAAAACATATAAACATTAGCCCTCATTTCTATTTTGCTGTGGACTCCAACAACTTCAGACAAACATGTCTGGTTGTTTGAGCTAGCCTGCTCAGTCTCAACTTTTTTTCTTTTTTGCCACTTGATAACTTTGTGTTTTTGATGTTTGGTCCTAGACAAATATTGTGTAGTGGACTCATCAAAGCTTTTTTAGTGGAAACAGTTGCCTACGGGGCTTGTTGTGAGTGACTCAGACTCAGGCTCAGACAATAAGACTGCAAATCTGCAGTGCATGAAACCAAAAAATGTGCTTGAATGAGTCTAAAAGCTCTGTAATGCTGCAATTTTAATTCTCTAATTTTGAGCTATGGGCATCCCCTTACCCCACTCATTTTCAGCAAATAATTGAATTGAAACAAAATTAAAGATCTTAAAGTAAATATAAAAAATATGAATAAAACAAATATTAACTTTTTCTTTTCAATGCAAATGAACACAATTTTTCATGGGTTGTAAAGTGTGTCTTCACTGGTCAGTGTGACATCTTAATGAGCATGCCTTCCTGGGTGTTGACACAATAAGAGGTGATCTGAATCTCTTTTTTTTTTCAGCAATAAATTTGAGCACTATTCAGCTATGAGTAACTATCACAAAAATACTGAGCCATGATACCGGGTGAGAGCTGATGGTTGTTAAAATTGTAACCCCTACCTTGTGCTGTTTTGAATCATCCAATTTGACTTCTTGCAGGAGTCTTCTACAAACTGATATGCTGCTGCTCCCATCAAGAACCCGGTTTACTTTCTCTGAAACTCTTGGACCACGCTTCTGTTCCAGTCCATTAGGTGAGAAGCACCGTGTGGGAAACAGCCCAGGTTCAGCTTTCCCACTGGAATGAGGCTGCATACCGGTGTTAAGTGGAGGTGTTAGGTTCACATTATGAGATCCAGGGTGACCTTCAAGTTGTGTGCTCAAAGTTGGATCAAGCGTTCTGGGAGATGTAAGATTGGACCCACTTGTTTGTTGATGTTGGAACATGGTGAAGTTGTTATCCTGAAAGAAATACAAGGACACCATTGGGAAATAAAATTATTAAATTCTATCTATTAGTTGATTAATGTTTCTGTCGTGCTCTCTTTTGGTGTTTGAGCTTTAAATTAACCTCACATTTATAATAGCATTTTCTTCTTATCTGCTAATCTCTCACACCTTCAGATTTAGTGCTGCAACTCGGTATTGTAGTTTCAAACCCACATCCTACTGTACCAAAGAGATTATGTAAGATACTGCATATGCAAGAACTACACTGGTCGTCTCAGCATTAAAAGGAATACTCAACACAAAGAGATCTGCATATCACACATTTAAGTCTGTATTCTTGAAAGAGACCTGATCCTTTGCAGTTCGTTTCCACATTGAGATTACAATCTGGATTCATACCAGCAAAAATGAAGAAAAAAAAAAACCTTGGTGCTGCAGTGGTTAGCACTGTTGCCTCACCATAAGAAGGTCCTAGGTCAGGGGTGGGCAATTCCAGGCCTCGAGGGCCGGTGTCCCTGCAGGTTTTAGATCTCACCTTGGGTCAACACACCTGAATCACATGATTAGTTCGTTACCAGGCCTCTGGAGAATTTCAGGACATGTTGAGGAGCTAATTTAGCCATTTCAATCAGCTGTGTTGGTTCAAGGACACATATAAAACCTGCAGGGACACCAGCCCTCGAGGCCTCGAGTTGCCCACCCCTGTCCTAGGTTAATACTGACCAGCCAGATGGGGTCTTTATGTGCAAAGTTTGCATGTTTTCCCTGTACTTACTTGTAGGTTCCCTCTGGCTTTCTTTCACAGTTCAAAGACATGCTTGGGGGTAGGTTAGGTTAATTACTGATGTGTTAGCCCTGCGATAGACTGGTGACCTTTCCAGGGTGTACCCTGCCTTTTGCTCTGTGACAGCTGGGAAAGGCTTCAGTTAAGTAATCAGTTAAGTGGAAGAAAATGGATGGATAAAAATAAAACCTTTGACCATCCTGAACCAAGGTAAGTAAGTGTAATCAACACAGATGTAAAAAGCTAACTACATCATCCAGATGCTGGCACTGTGTATTTAGCTTTTGGAACATATATGCAGTACTGTATGTGCAGACAGAGAATAAGGGAGTTCTACTCATGTGAAGTTGTTCTTTTACTCTAAATCTGGATCAAACTTAGAACTCATCGCAACAGTTATAAAAAAAATATGACAATAGTAAAAAAAACTAAAATTACAAATCACTTGCATTAAATACCTCACCCTGAAAAATAGATGTATCGCACTCATTTTAATAAATGCTGCTCCTAATGGAATTGAAAGATTAAGTATTTAAAACAAGATGCTGTTTACTATCCTCTCACTTTTCACGTCAGCCATTGCCAGTTCTTCATACAATAGAAAGAATCACAGTTGTGGCATACTCACAACCAGATTGTTATCACAAAAACATTTCTTTGTTCATAATGTAGTCTTTGTTTCTCATGAATTTAAGAGCTCGAAGCTTTCCTTGGGCCTTGGAGATCAATATTTTTTCCTTATGCTGTCTGTTTTTTTGGTGTTTTCTTTCATCTCTGAGCTTTGTTGTGGGGTGAAAGGTTATCACAAGCCCCTTGAGGTTTGTAGCTTACCGGCTCTATATGTTATTTGTTTTCCCTCATTTTTCAACACTTTATCAATTTTTTACATTCAGGTGAATAAACAATAAACAATATGTATTACTGAAATCCTGATACGGGTGCTTTTATGAGCCTGAATGCATTTTAATGAACTAATTCACAGTCCATTGGCTTAGGTACTGCATTTAAAAAACTGCACTTCCCTGAAAATATTGAAAAAAAAAAAGGATAAATGAGGTTTTAATATATTTCAAAGTAGTTTATACAATCAAAGTTCATTTCTTTGTTTTGCTTTTAATATTTCTCTATGTTTAAGAGCAAATGCTTGCTCAAAAGAATTGTATGAAGCTGACGCAACACCTTGAAAGATGATATTGCTCCAAGTTGAGAAATGAACAACCTGACACAAATAAATCAAAACCAGGTTTTATATGCAAATCTTATTATTCCATTACATCAATATATGTACAAAACTGAAATCTCTGTCTAAATTTTCATTTTTTTTCCTAAGTATAAGGAAAAATAATGTTCTTTTAAATGTCTTTAGAGCAAAATTATTATTTACACAAACACACAATCTGCAATACCTGTACAAAACAAAACAACACTTTAGAAAAACATATACATGACTTATTTAGTTTAATATCTTGCTGTAAATTTATTTCATGATAGCAACTGAGTTGTGTTTTAAAAACGAATGTTGGTATCAGAATCTACAAATATAGATAACAAAAGCTTACTACACAAATCCAGTGTCTGTCTGCAAACCCCTCCTACACAATTAGGAGTTGGGCAAACAAGCTTGGCACACAGGTACATCTTAGACACCTGAAAGTTCTTATCTATATATCATATATTGTTTGATCCTATATTGATGTCATGATGTTGCCTAGCAACCACCCACCTACAGCCTAAAATGACCCATCTGTAGCATCTATGGACCTTTAAAGCCTTATAAAAAGGATTATATTATCTTAATTTTCACAACAATAACAATAATTTAATGACTAATTATTCATATTATCAGTCTGTCATGTTGCCTAGCAACCACCTAATAGCTACCTAAAATCACAGACCAAACAATACTGTAGCACAGTTATGTGTTAATATAAAGATTACATTTTTTTCACCAGATAGGTGTTCGCAAGACATTTATTTTCAGTTCCTTTGAAACCCAAACATTATGTTCCAATTTTTTATTTTATAATCTTGTTTAACTTTTATTGGTTTATATCTGTGGAAAATCGAAGATACAGGAAACATGCTATTAGCCAAATCATATGTCACAGGTTCAAGGCTCACTAGAGCGAACTCCCAGCATATCGTTTTCAACCCCCCCACGGGCTACTCGTGTTAAACATGATATATAAGTCACTTAGATAACTTAAAAATGTTATTGTTTGGCTTTTTTCAGTGTTTTATTTGTTCGTGAGTAAATCGGTTTGGCTGAGATTACAGCTAAATAAACATCAAACGGAAAACTGATTAAACAAAAGTGTGAGATGATCCTGTGAAGACCGACCCAGTGAAAATTTAGGCAGTGGTGGACCGGACCGGCCAACCCCCACCTCTTGTAATCACCTCCAACGGTTCCTCGGTTTTGCAAATTTTTACTGGAGGTTCATTCACAACAACAACAACCAGGTAGTTGCACCCCTAACACGCCTTACCTCCACTAAAATATACTTTCTCTAGTCCTCAGAAGCTGAAGCTGTCTTTGTCTAACTAAAGAAGCTGTTCACATCACCACCTGTTCTTGTCCATCCTGACACCAAGCTGCAGTTTACTGTGGAGGTAGATGCATCTGACTCGGGGGTTGTGGGCAGTACTCTCTCAATGCTCCAGTCCACAAGGCAAGCTGCAGCCTTGTGCCTTCTTCTCACACCAGCTAATTCCAACTGAACAGAACTACGATGGCATTGGTTAGAGAGGGCCGAACAGCCTTTTGTCATCTGGACAGATCACAAGAACCTGACATACCTAAGGAGTACTAAACGACTCAATGCTCGCCAGGCTCACTGGTCTTTATTTCTAAGTTGCTCTAACTTCACTATTTTCTATGGTACTTGATGTTCCATAGAAAATAGTTCCATAGAAAAAAGCCAGACGCCCTGTCCTCCTGTCCCATTTTCTGCTGCCACTAACTCAACAAACCCCCAAACATTCTCCCCAATTCATGCAAAGTGGGCTCACTAACATCACACTATGAGGAGAAAATTCAAAAAGCCCTGCAGGATGAACCAGACACTGGCACCGGGCCGCCTGTTCTACAGTCATCCACTGGTTCACACTGCCATGTTCAACTGTCACCCTGGGGTGAGTAGAACTATATTGTTCCTCAAGCGTTACTTGTGGTGTGAATCATTGGAAAGGGATGTAAATGATTATGTGGCAGCATGTTCTAGCTGTGTTTGTAGTAAGAGTAACACTCAATGCCCTTTGGGTCTGCTGCAATGTTTACCTACACCTCATCGCACTTGGTCCTACATAGCACTACACCTTTTTATGGGTGGATAGGTTTTCCAAGGCTGTTCACTTCACCAGTCTCGAGAAATTAACCACTGCCACTGAAACTGCAAAATTACTGACCCATCATGTTTTCAGGCTTCATGGGATCTCTACAAAAATTGTTTCTGACCAGGGCTCCCAGTTAATTTCCCAAGTATGGAAGACCTTTTGTTTTGCACTCTCAGCCAAGGTATGTGTAAGCTCAGGTTTTCATCTTCAAATCACTGGCCAGTTGGAGAGGCTAAATAAAGAACTGGAGACGGCTCTCCGCTGTGTAACCTTCCAAAACCCTTCCTCCTGGTCCTCACAACTGACATTGCTGGGATACGCAGATAACTGTCTTACATCCTCTGCTACTAGTTTTTCGCCCTTCGAAGCATTTCTAGGGTACCAGGCTCCACTCTTTCCCCTCCATAGAAGCTGACCTCACCATGCCAACAGTACAGCAACAACTACAGAGGAGGAGGCAGGTGTGGACCCGGACGAGGGAGGACCTCCTCAAGACGGTCGAGAGAAACCAGCATTATGCCCATCGCTGTCAGCCTTCCACTCCCTCCCAATGACCTTGGACAGAAGGTGTGGCTCTCGGCTAAAGACATTCCCTTCAAGGTTCAAGGTTCAAGGTTCTTTATTTGTCACATGCATAGTTATACAAGTATAACACACAGTGAAATGTAGCCTGACACGCTCCTCGACATGTGCAAAAATTGTATGTATATATATATATATATATATGTATATGTAT